CCATGTGGAAAGTCATTAACCCCTCCTGTACAACCACCTATTCTGCTGCTAATGCTTGTTGGAGGAGATTGCGTGACTGGGTGCCTAATTATACACTCGTGTCAACAATGGGTTTGGCTATATTATGCTAATCCTGTAATAAATAGGGATGTCCACATATATTTGGCCATATTGTGTATATTCATGTGTTAGAGATGGTTTTATAGGGGCTGTTCCTCAGCAACATCTAATGCATCCATGGTGACCTCAGTGCAAATGCTCCACCTAACCCAACTCTTCGCTTGATGGGCTTGAAAATCTACACGTGATTTACAGTATGTGAATTTCTTTGAGAAGTCTTCCCGTCCTGATCACCTGTGTATATCGGCTGCTCAGTTATTGTCACCTAGCTACATTGACCGTTACTTCCTGCTATATGAGCATTCTTATCAGCTGACCTCACAATGATCTGCAAATGTCATGATGGTAGTGATTTTATCAAACATGAAACTCTTGTTACTTGAGAAGCAGATATTTAATTGCGATGGCAGTTGTTTTGCAGAATGTAACTGATGGACTGCAGCAGCCCTTGCAGTGTCCAGAATGACTTATCTCCTCAGGTTTCAGTTGAGCCTTCAATGTAACCCCAGAGGGTGACGGGTGTGACCCATGCAAAGTAATGGGCACACCCACCTTATCACTCTGCAGATTTCGTCATTTTGTTGCTCATTTCTAGTGACTTGTGACTTTCTACATTTGAACTTGATGGTGTATTACAGTGGTACCTTGGAACGCAAACTTAATTCATTCCAGAAGGCTGGAATTGCGAGTTGCGATTTGATCATGGTCCAAGTCAAGTTTTCCCATATGAAATAATGTAAATGAATTTAACCCATTCCAAATCCCCAAATGATTGCCTGTTTAAACCTGTCTACCTACTTAACGATAAAAATACATTAACAATAAATATAAAACTAATACACACATGAAAAACCACACATACAAAAGTAATATGCATAAAATAAATGACAATTTATGAGCACTTTCCCTGTATTGAAGTGAGCTGATGGCTTACTGGAGGTGGAGAGGAGGAGGGATGGAGAGCTTACTGTTTGGATGGGGAGACGGGTCTCGACCCCTACAAGATTCTGGTCAAGGCACAAGTTGAAAAAAATTTGACGGACCCGTTCAACATAGAGTTAAGAGGCGTTCGAGTTCTATGGTCCTGCTGTATTTGGTTGCTGGCTTTTAACATTTCTTTTTTACTCTTGTGGAAATGTAGTCACATGGTGTTTTCAGGATTATTTCCCATCTCACTGAGAGGAGAACACAGAAGATCCTATTTGAGTCCTTGTGGTTGATGTGGTGTGTTAATGTAGACCTCTCTCTTCCTCGGCAATTGTTGTTCAGTCAAAGGGGCTAATTGAGTGCATAATGAAAGGAAAAACTCACCATGAGGATGATTTGCAATCTGTCTGTATAAGCAGGTTTCATGGAAACCAAAGCATTTTACGATGCTGACCCCATCTGCATTATGAGACTTGACAATTACTGACAAACTTACAATTACTTTGGTTTTCTGTGGTTAAAAAAAGCATAAACGTTGCATGACATTATTCACGTCTGTGCATTCATATATGAACAACTACAACTGAAGAAGTCTGATTCAACTTCCTCTTCCTCTTTTCTGCACCCCCTTAGTGGCTTTTCATATGAATCACACTAAGCCCACACCATGCACTTCAGGCAGAATGAGGAAGAATTTGGGTTTTTTTTTACCTTTGTCCTGTGTTATTTCCCAAAGCTTTGTTAGCTCAACTCTCACATGCAGAGCACATTAGTCCCATGTGATGAGTTACGTGAGAAGCTGTGGTTGGGTATTTTCTGTTGGGTTCTTTGGAGTTGCCGGTGGTTTTCGTACTCCATGGGGTATTTGTCCAATAAGTGGCGCATCCTGGGAAGGGAATACGTGTCGGCCCAGATGTCAGACATGTGAGGGCTGTTAGCTTGACGCTGTCTCAAGTGGCTGCTGTTAGCCGCTTTATGACTGAGGAGAATGTGTATGGGTATTTTAAGAAGGGTTGCCCGTGATCTGAGGTTGATCTGCTTTATTGTTCTATCCTTCCATGTGAGACTCCTGACACTGGCCAACGTCTAAGTGCTAAGATATGTGTCACTGCCTTGCTCTGATAGTCTTTAATCCAGGAGCTGGCACACCAGAGAGCTTCCGGTGCTTGAAGTTTCCTGGGATTGAAGTTTAAACCCCATGGTTTCAAGTTCCAAAGCCTCCTTTAGAGAGGATTGGATCCAAGCTTTTAAAGCACAGTTCAGATTTTCTGCTGTGAACAGTTGCGTTTCCCAGAATGATCTTTGTCTCCTGGGAAAGTCTTCGGCTCATGTACGAAAGGCCGCCCTCCATCTATCCTCCCCATTTTTAGCATATCAGTGCTGCTCGGGGGGATTGGCTTTCATGTGCTCTCTCTGGACGGAAAGACGAGTGTTCTGTCCTTGTAAACCACAGACTGTTGACACCAGCAAGCCAATATGAGGTTGCTGCTCTCCTTCAGCTCTAGCCGTGCAAAATGCATGAGACAGTGAAGTGTAGCATGCATGTGCGCTGCTCCTAGGTGTTTATATGTTTCTGTATTGACTCTCTTCACATACCAGGTTACTGCTTTGATATGTTGTGCCCTGTTTCAATAATAAGAGGTCAAGAATATGCTGGTCAGGATTTCTACAGGCTGCTTTATATAACTCCTGGATTTAATGACGCGTGAATGATTGGAAGGTGAAAGCGGCAGCCTGAAGGTCTGATGGTTATCCTGTTATCTGCGTACTGTCTGTGCAGGGGCATGTTTTTTAAACGACGGGTGGTGGCGGTGATTGTGTATGAAGTGGCAGCTTTTTGTCTGTGTTATTCACAGGTGTGGTATGAAAACGTACAGCCCATCTGGCTGTAAATTTAAAAACAAAAAAAGCTTTTGAATACGAAAATCCATCCTTAAATACAGTTAGGGTGATGATACACAGGCCACCTTTCTGAGCAATGTTTCCAGGCAATGTTGCTGGCCAATGCTGTTCCGGAGCTTGCCCATTGATATTAGGCAACAGATTTGTATTTCAAATACTTTGATCAGCAGTGGGAAACTTTTTGCGATCATCCAGATCCAGAGGAGTTGCCCTTTGTCTTTGTTGGCAATTGCCTGGCAACATTACTGAAAAGGTTGTGTTATGTATCATCACCTTTAGGCTTTTGTTTTGAAAGACTTTACTTAAAGCAGTCATCATAATACGTTATAGATACCTTCATAATACATTATAATGCATTCATAAAGTATTACTGACATGACTAGAACTATTTTTAAAAAGGCATAATACATTATATCCATGCTTATTATGCATTATAAATGCTCTGTCAAGCTGTCATCTTAATGTATTATAGATACCTTCATAATGCATCGTAATGGTTAGTATAAGCCATTATAATGCATTATGAAGATATCTTTAATGCACTATACGAGTGCTTTAAGTAAAGTATTACCATTTGTTTTTGTTGAGCATCCCTGTTTTTGATGGCAAGAAGGAAATGGGAAAGTGTCTATATGAGATGGGTTTTGGTTGTTTGTACAGCCCAGGTATGTTGATCCATCGTCTTGATGCACTAGCAGACCACCCAGGCTGTGCCTGTACCTTTAAGGTCGCCAGTTCAACATGAGTTTCTGTGGTCAGCAGCTGCTGCCCTTTGGATACACAGAAGTTCTTTGAAGCGACTGGTTTCACCCAATCAACCCCTGTTTTGTGGAATGTGGGGCTTTTATTGTGGTCAAATATAAATCTGACTCGAGCATCAGCATCTGTTGCCAAACCCACACACATTCTCATTTGTGGACGTCCTTGTGTGTTTATGGTGGTGTTGACAGTGGGCTTCTAGTGGGGGGGTTCAGGTTACTAATAAGGCAATCCCTGATGTCTGTAGCCAGCGGAGCTAAGGTGTGGACTCCATATGCGTGGTGCCATCCTCTACTGCAGATTAGATTACTGTCTTTGTGCCCAAACCCCAAACAGCCCATCTGTCCCTACACACCTCAAAGTGCCAAGCCCCAAGTCTCTCTGAAAGCCTACTATCTCCTTGATCTCGGATCTCTGCCCTTCTGATCTGCAATTGCGTGCACATGTTCACACAAACACACACGCGCACACACACCCCCATCCATTCTTGGGGCCACTTTAGAGGAGTATCTGTTTACAGGCACATTCTTGTCGTAGAAAGAGACTTGTGGGCAAAGCTAATTCTACCTGCGCTCTGGGACATCAGCTGGGGTTTGGCTTTCTATAGGCAGCCGGGGTGAAAAGGCCATCAGACAGACTTACCTGATAGGGTTACTTTGGGCCCAAAAGAGGGAATCAAAGGTGAGACCTGCACTGAGAATCCCCCTATGTTTGTATATGAGTAGAAGTCAAAGCTTCAGCCACCCTGGCTGAAGGAGAACCATCATATTCACACTTTATCAAAGTGTAGCTGAAAAATTACATTCAGCCATCTTGTAGAACTTAAATGAATACAGTACCTTTCAGCTGGACCTTTTAGAATACATGCACTGTGAAGACCTTGTATTATGTAAATATCTATGACAGGGTTCCCCAGTTCCAGTCCTGGAGGGCCTGTTTGCAGCAGTTTTCAGATTTTCGTGCTCACACACACATATTAAACCTGGTAATTAAGGGGATCAAGATGTGTTTGAGCAGGGAAAACTGCAAACTGTATTGTATTCTGGCCCTCAAAAACTGGAAGTAGCACCTCTGGTCTATGAACATGTTGAATGCTCTGTCAGTAGGTCTCTCTGGAAATACAAACATGTACCGATCCTTTTCATATTTCATTTTCTGTGTGTTGAGAGGCCTCATTGTACCCGGCCACTCCCTGGCCATAGCTATGGATGAAAGCCCACGGTCGCCTGGCCCGTGCTGTTTATCCAGAACATAGTGTGGCTTACTGACCCGACTGTGCCTGGTGTTCCCAGAACCATGAGATGACCGAGCTGCAACGCACACGCCTGCGAGATGACATCAAGGAGTACAAGTTCCGGGAAACGCGCCTCCTGCAGGACTACACCGAGCTGGAAGAGGAGAACATCTCTCTGCAGAAGCAGGTCTCCGTGCTCAAGCAGAATCAGGTACGAGGAGGTTTGGATGCGGTGTGCCTCTTAACCCATGGCTTGATCCCTTTACTCCAATGGCTCTACCTTTTCTGGTCTGACATACTATAAGTTAGTGATTCTAATACAGCATTAACCACAAAATACAGCAGAGTTAGTTCTTCACAAGTTGAGTATTCATTCATCGATCCATCTGTTGTCAGTTCATTTACGCTAGTAAGAGATTAATAGTTGTTTGTTAAGTTTCCTTCTGTCTGTCTCCATCAGGTGGAGTTTGAGGGCCTGAAACATGAAATCCGCCGCTTGGCTGAGGACACAGAGTTCCTGAACAGCCAGCTGGAGGATGCCATCCGCCTGAAGGAGATTGCAGAGAGGCAACTTGGGGAAGCCCTGGAGACCATCAAGACCGAGCGCGAGCAGAAAAACAACCTGCGCAAGGAGCTGTCGCAATACATGAGCATCGGGGACTCCATGTATCACAGCCCCCTCAGCATCTCCCTCGATGGCCTCAAGTTCAGCGATGACATCGCTGAGCCTAACAACGATGACGCTCTCAATGGCTACGACAGCAGCTTCTGCAAGTTGGCAGGCGACGACGACAACAGCAAGGTGTCCACCCCCAAGAAGAGCGACCTCTTCTGCCCCGCCCCCAGCTTGGTCAACGACCTCCTCAGCGAGCTCAACCTCTCGGAGATCCAGAAGCTCAAGCAGCAGCTGATGCAGGTAGGATGGCCAACTCGAGCATGCTGGGTCTTTCTCAATTGTCAAGACGGTGACTGGTTGCCAGATCAGCAGCAGCTTCAGAACTAACATGCTCTCTGCTTCATATGCAAGAAGCAGTATGTATGTTTCAGATTTGCAGCAGCTGCATTGTTTCAGTTTGTAGCTTACAGTCCAGAGTAGCCGCACAGTTCTGAATGACCCATACGGACAGGTCTTAAATTCGAACAACTGAAATTATTATATTAAAAGCATTAGTTGATTTTAAAGGGATTTACAGAGCCTCCATGGGTAAGACAGCGGCCGGACTTCCTGTAGGATGCACAGTCAGAAAGTAGACCCAGCTACTCGAGGCTTTTGGCAGCGTCCCAACCCCTGCTGGAGTACCATGCAGGTTGGTGACCTGGTTCCAGATAACTGCAAGTCTTCCACAAAGGAGCCTGCATTTCTGGTCAGCGACGCTGCAGTTATTTTATATACCACATCAGCTGGGCTCTCTGCACTGCTGAGCTGATATTCTGCAGGGGTCGGATGGGGACCACAGCATGCAGGCCACTGCTGTGCTCTGCTCATGGCCCCTGGCCAGGGCCAAGCTGTTGTATTGGCCAGGTCTACGCTTGGTTCTTATGCAACACTTGAAAGTGGAGATTATTCTATTGCTCCATGGTGCCTGTAACCTCGCCCCACCACCACCATCATCAGACCAACTGATCTGATCTCTGCTTAATTCCTCCTAAATACATTATTTTTTAATTTGAAGATTTTTTCTTTTGGATGTGCCTGGGTCACTCTGCTACAGGTCAGTCAGCTGAGCTTGGCTGAATGGCTGAATTATACATGAAGGTGAACGGGATTCTGGTCCTCATGTTTGATTCATTTGTCACAAAAATAGGACAGCGATGGAATTGCAGAAGCACATGGAAATTCGATCTTCGCTTTGTCTGGCCGTGTTATTAAAGGGCAGCTGTGTTTGGAAAAAGCGTGCTCCTAATTCCTGCATTCGACTTTGAACATAATCCCGTATTTTTCCATTAGCCTGCGGCCATACTTCATGATTGCATTAGGCCAGTATTGGTTGCTGTATGTGTTTTGTTTCTCTGGGGAGCCACATTCCCAAAACCATTCAAAAAATCCATGAACAATTTGTCAATACTGCTATGCAAAATATTTCATTTTGTTTTTCATTTCAAGCAAGAACATTGCTGTCAACTAATAGTCCAAGCATAATTGTTACTTTTCCCCCATTCAGGTTTGCTTTTTTAAAATGCTGATAATTAATTTTCCAATACTCTCTTCACCAAGGATGCATGTGAACTTCACTGTCTCATTTGTTCTTTGCAGGTGGAAAGAGAGAAGGTCAACCTCCTGTCAACGCTACAGGACTCCCAGAAACAGCTAGAGCATGCCCGTGGGGCTCTATCTGAGCAGCACGAGAAGGTCAGCCGTCTCACTGAGAACCTCAGTGCCATGAAGAAACTACAGGCCAGCAAAGAGCGTCAGTCAGCCCTGGACAACGAGAAGGAGCGCGACAGCCACGAGGATGGGGACTATTATGAGGTGGACATCAACGGGCCTGAAATCCTGGAGTGCAAGTACAAGGTGGCCATGTCTGATATTGGGGACCTGAAGGAGGAGGTCAAGGAGCTCAAGTCCAAGTACCAGGACTGTCAGTCCAAGTATGAAGAGGAGAAGAACCGCCTAGAGGGCGATGTACAGGCTCTGACGGAGAAGCTGTCTGTGCTGGAGAAGAGCAGCCGCACGGACCGTGGCCAGGTGGAGCGTCTAGAGAAGGAGCTGAAGAAGGTGAGCGACGTGGCCGGAGAGTCTCAGGGAAGCCTCAGTGTTGCCCAGGATGAGCTGGTCACCTTCAGCGAGGAGCTTGCCAACCTCTACAACCACGTGTGCATGTGCAACAACGAGACGCCCAACCGTGTCATGCTCGACTTCTACAAGGAGGGCAGAGGGGTCCGAAACAGCCCCGAAGGACGGGGCCGGCGCTCCCCAATCCTGCTCACCAAGGGACTGTTCCCCGAGCCCCTTAAGGCCGAAAGCAGTGACAGCGTCCCGTCCCCTGTCTCCTCCCTACCTTCCCCGGTCTCGGACTCCCGCAGGGAACCCATGAACATCTACAACCTGGTGGCCATCATCCGTGACCAGATCAAGCACCTGCAGATGGCTGTGGACCGCACCACTGAGCTCTCCCGTCAGAGGGTGGCCTCGCTGGAGCTGGGTCCTGTAGTAGACAAGGACAAGGAGGCCTGCATGGAGGAGATCCTGAAGTTGAAGTCTCTGCTGAGCACCAAGCGAGAACAGATCGCAACCTTGAGGACTGTGCTGAAGGCCAACAAGCAGGTAAGGGCCTTTCATGGCTATACAGCAGTGTTTCCCAATCCAGTCCTCAGGGACCCACAGTCGCTCCATGTGTTTGCTCTCTCCAAGCTCCCCCACAAACAGCCCACGTTTTTGCTCCCTCCCAGCATATGGGAGGGAGCAAAAACATGGACTGCCTGTGGGTCCCCAAGGACTGGATTAGGAAACACTGCTATACAGCAATATGTGTTGTACCACCATCTTATTTTTTGCTTCTGTGTGAAACGGTCAAGTGAAAATGTGAGATTTGTTCTGACAGACTGCTGAGGTGGCACTGGCCAACCTGAAGAGCAAGTATGAGAACGAGAAGGCCATGGTGACGGAGACCATGATGAAGCTACGCAATGAGCTGAAGGCTCTGAAAGAGGACGCAGCCACCTTCTCCTCCCTCAGGGCCATGTTCGCCACACGGTGAGTTGGCAGAAGCTAACAAACAAATAAACAAACAGGGTGTGTGGTTATGATATTTTCTCTCCACACCCCTGCCTCTGCTAGAGGCTAGAACAGGTTTAATCTTTTCCGTGTGTGTCTACTGGAGATACATTTCAAACAGTGCTTAATTATTATTGGAGATGAGATTAAACTCCCCCCTCCCCCCATGGTAATCTTACTGATTTCCATATGGAGTGGACCGTGCCGGTCTGAACTGGTCTGACTTTACTCCAATCCTTCACAAACACTGGGGAATTTTCTTTTTGAGCATTCAGCTGAAATCAGATTGTGTGTTTCGCAAGCTACCTATTGTTCTTGCTAATAGTTTTCACTGTGTTTCACCACAGATAATCTGGTTGTGCCAGATATTCTGAGATCAGCCTTTCCCATGTAAGGGCGTTTCGCAAGCCGTGAATTGAACACTGATGGATACTAACAAAGAAAACACGATGGCGTTTCAAAATCTCATCAATATTCGGCTTTTCGTTATCAACAGCTTAAAATAAATCAGGAAAAAAATACATTTTGATATAGGTCCTCATTTTATTTCAAAGAAAAATTAAATGGTAATGTATGTTAAAGTAGCATCTTAGTTTTGACTAAGTAAATGTGAGTGGTAGCTCATTAGATTCAGATTTAGATGTCAGTTGCAAAGAAAGTCCCTCAAGTAGATCTTACCTGCTCTCTGAATGAGACCCCTGACAATGGAATCATTATTCACCATGAGAAGACTACGTGAATCAGGCTGCCTTGTTTTTTCTTTTATCTTTACACTTTGGCTGCAGATCTTAGGACTAGAGGGGCACTTAAGCTGGCCTGCTATTTGGGAGACTCTGGTAGTATTGGTGAACTTGGCCGGAGAGCAGAGGAGCGTTTCTGTGGCAGTAACAGCTGATGTTCATACCCCTGCTTCAGAAAAGCTCGCTCCATCAGAAAACGTCTCGCTCCATCGACCCTAATGGCCCCTCGTGTGGGGAAAGGTGCCGCCAGCGAGGGGGTGTTTCCTACAGTGCGAGGCGTGAGTGGATGGCGATGAAAGTGAGCACAGTAAGCCGTGATCTGAGAGGCACAGTTCTTGCTCTTAATGGAATGGGCGTGGGGCGTGGCCAGCAGGCCCGGGCCCTTCTGTAGAGTGGGAAGTTTCCAAGCATGGAATGTTTGGAGTCTTGGGTCTTCACATTTATTGGGACATTGTGGCTTTGCAATGAACGTGGAAAAGGTTTAAAGTCTGCCCAAAGGTATCTCGCAAAACCACCAATTTTGTGTTGCAAGAATAAGAACTTGAGTCCTAGAGTCACCTGGTTTACTTGGTAGGAGGCTAAGCGTAGCCTCAAAACACGTCCTTTCAGGAGCGCAACAGAATGTGAAGAATGAACGGTGCGATGGCAAAGACGAGCTACCAAGACGGCAATTATGGAACTATGTGAACTGGGGGTTATGAAACAAGGTTTCTCATTAACTCTATCAGAGCCCGTTTTAATGCTGAACACATACATGTGTTGAGTAGGAAGGGACTAGCATGGGCTGTGTGAATGTAGGCATGTACTGGTTGCATTAGGCTTGATAATCAGGAAGGGCCTGTAAGTGCCTATTTGCGAAATTCAGGTATCACATTAAACCAAAATGTGGTCCAGCCAGATTTGAGCAGGGTAGGGCATTTTGCTGCCTTATAATTCAAGAAACCACACTATTCTAATTATACCTCTGTTATATACATGTAATTGTCATTGGAAGAAAATTGTTGATGACTGTAACAGTTCCTGGCAGAAACTGTATCACCGATAGCTTGTTTTACTGGTTGTATTAACAGTTTTGGCCATAACTATGTGTTTAGGTCCTGCTCTGCTAAGAGCTGTAGCAGTTTGCTCTGTGCTCCCTATGAATCTGAATTGCTCAAACCCAAAGTGGAATCGATTCTCTTTTGGCTGCTTCTGGCTTGCTGTAAGTGTTGAGGAGTTCTCAATGAGGTCATTGTCATGACATGGCCCGATGTGTGTCACAGCTGTTTGCAAAGCAAGAAGTGACTTAGCCCCTGATTGGTTGCACACACATGCGGCAATAGTGCCCCCCTCCCTCATTGCTCTCTGACTCGCAAGGAGCAGCATTGGTATGCTAATGACCAGCCCAGAGTGTCTGCTAGGCGGAAGGCCCCCTTTCTCAGGGCCTGCAGAGACATACGTGCCACTCTGGAGTTTCCCACACTCCACAACTGCCCTCTCGTCCTGCTTGGGGGGGTGGGGGGATCCCTTAACTCATTAATGAAGCAGGTTACTTTCCAAAATTCAGTTACTACATGCTTGTGGCGTTTTAATACTCACATAAACTATGAGTTTCTTGCCTGCAGTGCCTCAGTTAACTTTTTTTTAAATTCCTTTTTTAGAGAATTTAACGGAAGCTATTGGGTAAGCTTGTTAAAACCTTATGACATTAATATATACTTAACCAGAAAGCACTGATGTCAGACAGCTGGGTTTTTAGTTAAAACTTTGATGTCATTTGTTCCTTCTTGAGCTCCTGGGAGTTCCTCAGTGTTCCTCCATCCCCCCCAGTAATTGGCTGTGCTCCGACGTGATTGGTGGCTGGCCGTGACTGACGGGGTAGCTCACAGCTGATTGTTTTAAGGCTTTGGAAAGAGACCAATCCTTTTCTATCGATTCAGTCAATGTCGCAACTGTTCCAAGACAAAGGGCATCAGTCCCACCATTGTGGGAGAACAGCCCCAGTTTGTCAGGGAAAATGGGGACCCATTAAAAGGCATCGCTTGGAGAAAAGAGGGGGATTTCTTTTCCCGGGAAAATGTCTGACCTTTTTACCTTTAAACCAGTCTTCATTTATGGGAAGGCTCCCCTAAACAAAAGGCTTGAGCTAAAGGGGTGTCACTAATATGCATTGTGGATTTGGGGGGGGGGGGGGCGTGTGACACACACCCACAATTGCCCCCCATGGGGGTCACAATAGGCTACGTTCTCTCGGCACAGCTGGGCTCCCGGATCATAGCGGCTGGGAGACCCTACAGACCCCAGACCAGCCCCCCCCCCCCCCAGATGATATTTAACATTCACACGTTATCACGTTATGTGACAGTCAGTGGTCCAACCTGGTCCAAAATCAAATATGTGTTTGCTGATGACTAACTAGCAAATATAGCTAGCTGCCTATTTTGGTAACTCCAGATGGTTTTTACAGTAGATGGGTGGAAAATGAACCCAGGAGTGTAATGGTGAAATTATTGCTTATTGCAGAGGAATGGGTTAAGCTGGATAATTTTTTCTTCCTGTCGTCTTAAAGGCTCCCTCAAGAGTGAGACGTAAGATTAGATACACCTGCGTTTGCACGGTCTTTCAGGAATGCTGCTACCACCATGTTTGACTAGAATCCGTGCTTATTTCTGGTTAACGTGATGGGACAGAACCAAAGCCAGAACTCTATTCGTCTACATTGATTTGCAATAAGTATTTTATGAGGATAAACTGTGCAATACTTTCACCGCTATGAGTGTGTTCCACTGGTGTTTTACACACTGGGCTGATGTCCACCCCATGGATGTGTTCCTCACAGCTGTACGGTTCGCAGGACGTGTAGACTGATATCTTTCCCAGCATGTTTGGACTTAATAGATGCAGCCAGCAGCTTTAAATTCAGTCCTGAGCCTGGGTTTGAGCAGAGAAGAGTAGAGATTTTGGATAATTGTTCCTGTACACATGAACACCAGTGTTTGTTCTGAGTCGATCCGCATTGCTTTGTGCTGCTAAGGCGCTAATTGCTAGTTTCTCTGGGCTGTGACAGTGTCCCTGAGAATGTGGCGCCTCCTGGTAGCTTGTCAGCTAGCAGAAGCTGTCGGCACAAACTTGTGCGACATGAGGAGCTGCAAGCCGACCCCCCTGTCACAGCAAGCTGACTGCCGTCTCGGGTCAGAGCCCAACTCTGCTCATGGGAGGCTGGATTCCACCCCCGCCCTCACTGGGGGCTGCCTCTTCCTAGGGAAGAATCGCTGCCCTCTAGCAGCCAATGCCGGAACTGACCAGGCCACCTGCATGTTTAGATAATGAGTTAAGCTGAGTTTTACCCTTGTCTAAGCTCTTCTTATACCTGTTGATTTTTTTGTTTTAGTAGAGTGCCTGCGTGTTGATGTGGTAGTTTTTCTTCCGTGTTTTGCAGACTTGGATAATAGGCGCGTATGAGATTCTTGCATTAGTCAATCTGATGCTTGGAGGATGTGGGAAGGAGCTGTGTTTATGTGAATAGCAGGGCATTGTGGGAAGCCCTCTGATTGGGTGCCCTGGGATTTTTTATTTATTTATTTTTTTTAAAGTCGCAGGAACTCAGTTGTGCGTGCCCTGCAGTGTAACTGCAGAGGGGATGGGAGCGTGGGTTCTGAAGCTCATGCAGTGTTTGGTCCTCTAGGGGAGAAGTAGTGCCTGTTGGCAGATTTTAAGATGTAGAAACTCTATCCTGTGGAATTTTAAGACTGGAGTGTAGCTTTTTTTTTTGTTTGTTTTTGCTCCTTGGTTACCAGATTTATGCATGTCTTCGGCAGAAGTCTGCCTCCTGCTGGCGCACCGAGCGAACTGCAGCTCCGTCCCCCAGAGTTTTATTGCGTGAAGTTCCCATGACTTCATGTTCTGCCCATTTTAATACTGCATTTCAGAGAGGATTACGCGAGGCGTATTTCATGCTGCTTCCCTGTGGGATGGTGGGTGGACAGTAAGTGGTCGTTGAGCCGCTTCTGAGGTCATTTAGGGAATATCTGACACAGAGGTGCAGACAGTGACCACCAGTAGGGGGCTGTATTTCACATGTCTGTGCAGTCCCGTGCCCCGTGACCTTTCATACAAATATAGGTGACCTTTAACCCGTGCTCTACTCCTCCTCCCTTGCGGCAGGTGTGACGAGTACGTGACACAGCTGGATGAGATGCAGAGGCAGCTGGCCGCGGCCGAGGACGAGAAGAAGACGCTGAACTCGCTGCTGCGCATGGCCATCCAGCAGAAGCTGGCCCTGACGCAGAGGCTGGAGGACCTGGAGTTCGACCACGAGCAGCTGCGGCGGGGCAGCCGTGCCAAGACGGGCCCCTCCCGTGCCAAGGGCGCCCCCGCCAACCCACATGTAAGTCACGGGCAGTCCTGCGCGGGGCGCGCCGAGTCCAGTGGCATCGCCGGGCCTGTGGTCTTCTGCAGCGAGAAGTACAAGATCTACTGCGACTAGAGGGGGCGGCAGGCGGCCTGACAGGATGGCCGCTTGGGGGGGGGGGGGGGGGGGGGGTCAGGCAGGCACCTGCTCGCTTCTGCTCTGACTCTGCTCCAGATGCCAGACTGACATCTCTTAGCGTGACGCCGCCAACCACTGCGACTTCAGAGCTCGGGGGCCTGTGACTCTATCCGTCTCTCTCCGTCTCTCGTTGCTGCTCGCCGTGGGCTGCGTCTCGCCAGGACAGCATCTGCATCGCTTCTTGCGTTGTGGGACTGTGCTCATCCCCCCCACACACCTTCCAACTAGCCCCGCCCCCAACTGTCTCCTAGGACCCCAATGTTGGCCACCAAGCATTGGTGGTTATATTTTGTTTATTTTGGTTTTTTTTTTTCTTCTAATTAGTGGTTATTCCCAAAGTAGACCAAAGCGTCAGTGGAGGCAGTTACCCATGATTCCTGTGGGTTTTGGGGGGGATGGGCAATGATTTAGCAGTAATCTTATTGCACTTATGTTTACACTCAATAAAATATGCAAAGATGCATTAAATTGGTTAGGAATTGGGTGCACAAGATGACTTAACAGTTCACACTTTAAAGGAGGAAATCTCAAATGATGGGTCTATTCCGATTTGGGACTTTGACTCCGAAACGCGTTCGATTTCCTGCCGCGTCAGTGGGAGTGGGGTCTCGGCCTCCCGCACCCACGAGCACCACTGTTTGTTCTGTGTCGATTTGCTTTGCTCTGTGCTGCTAATATGCTAATTGCTGGCTTTTATGGGCTCTGGCTATTAACAGTTTTGTTCCCGGTGTAACTAAGTACAGCACAGGCGGTCACATGGCTGTGACCCCCCCCCTGACGGACAAAGGGGACGTCTCAGAGCGAGAATAAGTAGTCGTTTGGTTTAGGGAGTTCTCTCAGAGCCATATGGAGGAGGAGAGTGAGATGAAGTCGGAAATGAAGCGTGCTTCTTATCAGGTGCCTCAGATCTTTAAATTATAAACAAGCAGAAGGAACCTGGAGCGAGATACAAATGATACTGTGAGCAGGCACTAATAGTATTGATTCTTTTGGAAACTTTATTAACTAAAAGAGCACAATAGAATGGCACTCTGACTCTGAGACCAACACAGACCTGTAGAAGTGCCTCTTGGAGTATCTGGATGTCAAGTCCTGTGTTTTTCCTTTTCTTTCTTCCCAAGCTAATGCTGATCTCTCCCTCTTTCGAGTTTCCCTGGAGCTGCTAAGCTTTCCGCTGGCTAAGCTCTGCGTCTCTAACGTTGTCCTGCTCCTTCTGTCCCGCCACTCTCTCTCTCTCTCCCTCTTTAGATTGTCAGCAGCTTGTTTCCTTCATCTCGCCAGCCTACCTTTAAGTAGGGGAGGAAAAATAGATCCTCATGTTGTCATCAGGTAATTTTTCCTCTTGCGTGCAACGTTCTCTCATTGGAGAAATCAGCTCTGCTTGTATGATATACTGTATGTGAATCTTAAAAAAAAAATGCATCAGTGTTTTGAAGACATGGCAAATGGAATAGAAGTAGAAGTCAACCGTTTGCCTTGATCTCATTTGTATAAGTGGTGGAAAGGAGTTTGCGTACTGTTTTTTAATTAAATGCTTTGATATGCAAGCTAGGCATTTGAAAATATGTGGGGCATTTATTAATAGTTTGTTTTACTAATAAAAGCAGGGTTGATATGAGAAAAATATGCTTTCTAATACATAACCAGTATACTTTTTTCTTACTAATCATATATTCTAAATATAAAGCGTTTGGGTTTTGATTTCCCAAATTGCTTGTTAGCTCTTGAAAATGAATGAGAAATTTAACCACTTGAGTTAATGTTTTTGCAGAATTTGGAGGAATAGATTTAATAGTCAACCCTGCTTTTTTCCAGCTTTGCTGCAACCGTGTTTCAAGGTCTTTTAGGTTATTAACGTTAGGAGCCAACGAGACTTTGATAACAGAAATAATAGAATAGTAGTAATGATATTGTGCATTTTATGGTAGAGTCCAAACACTTTCCTCCATTGAGAATCAACAAAATGATTCTCTGTTTTCGCAAAGTTTTCTGGTTTGGCGAAAAGCACATTAGCTACTTGATGCAAAATCAAAGGTCTCTCAAAGTAAACGGTGGCAAGAGGCACTCAGACATAAAGCGTGTGCCTGTTAGTCTGAGAGAGTTTTTAACCGTGATTTTTTTACCATGGTAAAATGTGGTATTTATTCTTCTATGACCTGAATGGCTGTTCCCGCCGTGGCTTTTGGATTCAGACTCTCCTTTCCGTTAGCCGCCATGCTTGCGCCCCGATATCGCCTCCTCTCGAGTTTCCCTGAGAATGCGGTGAACCTTTTCTTTTTAGCATCCGTTTAGCGGTTTCTGGAGGAAAGACGGTAGATCGTCCGGTTTGAGATCCACGTGCCCATCAGGACACAGCATGTGAACTCTGACTTTCCTACCTCTGCTTGCAGGCTCCCCCCTCTTCAGTTTGCCAAGCCTTTGTTTTTAACCGCCCCCCCCCCACTCCACTCACAAACAGTGATCTGCATGCCCCCGCCTCCTCCGTTTTTTGCTCTGCTGCATGAGCTGAGCTCCTGGGTCTGGTACTTGTGAGCCATCGACCTCCTGCACACGCTGCTCTTCCTGTGTGTGGCTGACTCTGGGCTTTGTGCTTTCATAACATCTGAAAAGGCAGCAACGCCACGCCCTAACGACACTGGCAGCTGCTAACCTGCGGGCACTAACCTCTGCCCTTAACTAACTCAGTTTTCCAACCGCAGCGTGTGGTTGGTTTATTTATGATTTTAATGCAAAGGTCCTGCTTGCTACTCATATTTACCCAATTACAATTTTAATGGCTAAATATCATTTTTAATGCTGATTTTGATTTATGTCTCCATTTTGCAGTAATGTAGTTCAGCCTGGATGCGGAGCTTCCGGCAGAGCGAGAGGCAAACGTGGCCGGCTCCCCGTTAGGCGCCCCTCCCGCAGATAGCGTTGCTTGGCCAATAGGACTTAAGAATTCCACACGGAGAACTTTTTTTTCTCTTTCCCTTCCTCTAATTGGCAAAAAAGCGAAACGGACGTGTCCCGGTCGCCGCATTCGGAATGTGAAACGAAGCGCAGCTACTTTGCAGCCGCAGCTGCGGGGAAGTGATGCTCACAAGTACCGAGGAGAAGCTGGACCTCCTGTCCCGCAGCGACCAAGGGTCTGCGAGAGAAGCGGGGGCTGCTTTGTGTTTTCCTCAGTGTTCTTACAGATCGATCCTGTGCACTTTTCACTCTTCGGTTTTACACTTTAGGGAAATTTTGTGGCGCTGTGGTTAGTCAGTCTGACCCTTGTATTTTTAAATATTATTGTTTTTTTTTATGCATCTCTTTGCACACGCCACTAAAACAGAATTTCTCACCATCATTACACTACAAACCAGAGCTCAACATTCTCCCCTTCACTGAATTAACCCTTAACTCAGATCATAGACTTATTTTTTATTTTTTATCATAATTATTGTTATTGTTTGTTGTTATTTACTGATATGATACTGCCATGTTCTGAACAAAATCCAGGGTAAGCAAATTCTGGGGTTTTTTCATGTATTATTATTCTTAGGAATAGCTCAAAGTAACAAGGAGAAACTTGACGTTGTTCTGGTTTAAATGGTAGTAGGCACTTGAAAACCATGAATGAATTGACTAGTATTTCCAATTCATTTCCAGAATTTCTGGGATAAAGATTCAGGAGGGATCACTGATGGACAGAATTTTTTGCAAGTGTTCTAATTAAATTCCAAATTGGAATTGTTTCATTCTCTCTTTGTTTACCGTGCCAAATCTTGGTACATTTTTAGGTTTTTGAAAATGAAATGGAGGAGAAAAAAAGCAGGAAGTAGGCTGCTGGAGAACATTTGTGATTTGGGTTCCCTATCTCAGCGCCTTGTTTTGTTCTGCTCTCATTCTGACCAGTAGTGCCTTTTATTTCAAGGGAGAATCTTAGCCTAGTTGGATGACTTAGGATGAAATTAAGCTACTAGCAACAAATCTTAGCAGAGTTTAGGAGCAATAAGTGCAAAAAGCATGTCCCTTTTTGCATGAGTCTGACTAGTTACATGAAATGGAAATTGTACTGAATTCTGTAAGTCAGTGATCCCTGGAGGATGCAAATTCAGGGCTTTAGTGAAGTTTTTTAATCATACTTTGGGAACCAAAAATAATCACTTTGGCCTCCTAATGAATAAAAGCGGTAAGATATAACACATTTGTGGGTGCAGGATGGTATACTATTTGAAATATTAACGTATCAATAGCTTTGTATGGTGGTGATGGTAACGTGGTATCAATAGTATTGTTGGTAAATGTGTAAGCTTTTTTGTATTTTCTTTTTTATACATCTAAGCATTGTTATTTCAGTAAACAGAAAGCAGACTCCGCATCTACAAGCTTGGTGTGGCGTTTGTAGCCATATGGTTTGTGGAGGCATCAAAATGTTGAGTTATTGTTGTGGTTGGAAAGTTTAAAAAATTTTGAGTGCAATTCAGATGCTGTTTTACTTGGGTAAAGGTTTTCTGTTTGCTGGAAGCGATTGCATTATGATTAGCCGTGCAAAACTTTATCATCCTTCTGTTACAGTATTGATCATTTGATACCTTTATATGAATTAATGACTTCACCTGTATGTCGGTATTTATTTAAAAGATGTCTTGCAGTACTGTATTACTTTAATGTGCATTACGATTAGTGGCAAAAATGATCTTGACTTATGCATGTTATTCAGTCATGGGACCTTTACACAGAGGTGAAAAGAAAAATGCGCAACTTCAAAAAATGTAAGCTAAAATGGAAAAATGTATAATTTTAGGCGTTAATAATGTATTACTTACAAACTAATCCTAAAGAGAATTGTTTTGTTTTCTCTAGAAAGGCTGTGTGTCTGTGTAAAGGTAGTCATACTGGCTAAATCAATAAAGTTGGATTAAACCATTCCTAAGACTCGTCTTTCTGCATCTCTTTCTCTTCCGGCACATTCTTCTGTCCCGCTCTGCTGCTCGGTCTCTGCACACACACCCGTCTTGTAGCAGCGCTGCCTGAAGACCGTCTGGAGTGTCTGACCTTCTGTCCAGGCACTTCCTGCCGGCTCCCTGGAGGGCCAGCGGCCCATTTTTGGCCCAGTTTCTTGGTGACCCACAGACATTCTTGCCCCCCCCCTCCCCCTCCCAATTCAAGTTGCAAAGACTTAATCGCGTTCCTCTACAGCTGTGCCTGATTACCATGGTAAGGCCTGGGTCTCCTGTTTTATAAGAGGCCTTGTGTTGCGGGCCAGTGCTTGAAAGAACTCCAGAAATGTATGGGCAGCAGCTCAGCCAGTAGTCCATCATCTGCAGTTATGAATCCGGCCACAAGGCCGTTCAGCTTCTGTGTTCTTGGACGAATCTTTGTAATCGTTACCGTGAGGCTCTTCGAAACTCCTTTTGACTCCAACCTTCTGTTGCATTCAGTTGTTTTCCATCATATAATAGAAGGTGATCAAGTAAATAATTATGAAAGGAAAATTCTGGAGTTAAAAACGAAACTTAATATTTGTGCGAGATACTTGCTTGTTAGTCTGATGTGATTATTCAGGATCGCACCCTCCCCGCACCAAACTGCTCTGAACATTAAGACTTTTAGAATAACTACATCTGATTCAAGTCGTTCTTACGAGTGCCGGGAAGATTATCACTATCCTGGGCAGATGGCAGGGTACCTCAGTGTTTTCAGGGTGCGTATTGGATACAGCTATACTGTAAATATAGCCACCCCTTGACACTATGCAGCAGTTGACCACAGCATGCCTAAATAATGGTGATTTGTATAAGGGGCAAGGAAGTGATCCCGGTGGCAGCGTATTACGTCATTCATGACAAAGGATCTATTGATAGGGCAGTCATGTGTGGAAAGCTGTGGATTGAGACTGCTTCAACACTAGACTGTTGCTTAGCAATACTCCTGAGACTGGTAGTCACTTGGCTACCAGCTGAATTAGTCTGTTCTCTTCTGAGGTGTAGTATTTCCTACGTCCACAGAGTGTCACTGCAACTTGTTAAAGCAGCAAACACTTTGTCTCCTGCTGTAATGTGTATTGCTGCAGTTATGGTAAGTGTGTCCTTAACCCATCTTCTGGAAAAGCAAATAAAATGCCCGATCTTTATTGCCTTCCACCATTGAAGCTTTACGGTAAGTGTATATCTACAGTCGGTCAGTGTTCTTAAAGATACATGTGTTGAGTGGTGCCTTGTGACTGTTGGCATGTCAGCAATGTTGTGCCAGCGTGTTTAGATATTCCGACAGGTGCAGCATTCATCAATCAATCTGTTCCTCCAGTCTTTTGGCCGTTCCTTCTCCCGCTGTTCCTTGGGAATGATGATGTCACTTTAGTCGCATCTGCAAGTGCCAGCATCAAGGTCCCAGGTCTTAGAGAAGCACCGTATCTTTCTTCTGCGGGGGGTTCAGCCCACAAAAGGCCTTTTCTTTCACCTCCTGCTTGTCATGTGATGCCAAGGACACATGAGTGGCCTTAAGGGTGCAGTGTTAGGTGGTCAGATAGACACCATTTATTATATTACCGGTACATGCACTGTCTACTGACAGTTTGCATTGTGGCCAAATCGCTTCAACCTTCCACAAACTCTGGTGGGCCAAACATAACCCTCTTGGTTATTCTATGCTCTCTGAAGATCATTTTAAATATTACATTTTACATAAATATTACACCTATATAAAACATTTGTGAACTTTAAAATGATCTGGTTCCTAAGAACCAGAATAGTTCCTAAAATGTGGTCCATCTCTGGCATAATACAAAATATTCTTATTTAACAAACAACACAATATTTTGCATTGGTCATCAATTCAAAAAGTATGTGAACCTCATAAAAAGAGACTAATTGGAGACATGTTCCAGTTCAGGTGTGGGTTTGATGTGCCCATCCATATAAAAAAACAAAACAAAAACTCGCTATGAGTGGGTGTCCTACAAAGACTGGGCAAGACCACACCACAGAATCCTCAGACAAGTCACAACTAACTAACTGTTGTTAATATGGCCCCTCTCAAAAAGTTACCTCATGGTTGCAAGTAGTGTTAACATCAGCTAGTGAGTTTAATCAGAAGAACACAGCAACATTAACAGAAAGTGCTGCTTCCACATCTAAATAAGGAACACATTCATTCTATTTTTACTGTAGTGACCTTTTGTGGCCATTAGAGGGGGCAAACCTTAACGGCCCCACACAAATGCCTTGTTTGAATGGTGGTTAACACCCCTGCTGCCCAAGAGTGTCAGGAAAGAGCCTGCGGGCAGCTATTTATTGCACTTGGTGACATTTGTGTTTTATCATAAGGCAAAAAACACTGGTGTGCCATTCATGGGAAGTTACCGTGATGGTTGTGAATGTCATGTGAGAATATCTTTATTATTGAAATATCAGCTCGTGTTTTGGGAGCTATTCATACAGAAATGCAGATAATTCACACACTTTAACTCTGCATTGCATGTTGGTTGCTATTGTAATTTTGTATTCATAATTGAAAAGCACTATGTTCCAGATTCTTTTGTGTGATGAGCCTCATTAATGGGCTCTCACTGATGGAACAGGGCATCTGCCCCAAACCATTACATATCACCAAATGGCTGTTTTTGCCCGAAACCCTTACAATGAATCTCCGACTGAAGGGTTCTGTCCTGCTCCAGCCCTTCGGCTTTTTGAGCCAGGCTGCACCTTCAGAAGGGAGACAGGCAGGAGTCCTGATTGAATCAGACTGCTGTTCTGCTCCACAGACTGGAGCATTTCTCATCCTGTTGAGTCAAACCAAATCTCTTCAGTGGAAAGTGAAACAAAAGTACACACACACACTATATGGTCAAAAATGATAGAACACTTGGCCATTACACCCACAGGAACTTTTTCTGACATCCCATTCTAAATCCACAGGCATCAGCATAGAGTTGGTCCCCTTTTTGCAGCTATAACAGCTGCCACTCTTCTGGGAAGGCTTTCCAACAAGATTTTTGGAGTGCTTCTGGCCTGGCTTGCAATATTCATTCTATTTCTTCCCAAAGGTGCTTGACAGAAGATGTCTTTATGGACCTTGATTGGTGTACTGGAGCACAGTCATGCTGGAACAGAAGAACAGAAAAGGGCCCAAACTGTTCCCACAATGTTATAAGTATAGAATTATCCACAAAGTCTGCTGAACTAAGGGTAACCCTCCACCAAACTTTACAGCTGGCACAATGCAATCAGGCAGGTGAAGTTCTCCTGGCATCTGCCAAACACAGACTTGACCATCAGATTGTCAGACACATGACAATCTGTGACCCACAGAACACATTTCCACTGCTCCACAGCCCAGTGGCGGCGTGCTTTACACCACTCCACCCACCCCTTGGCATCGCGCTTGATGTTGTGAGGTTTGCATACAGCTGCTCGGCCATGGAAGCCCATCCTCTGAAGCTCCCGGCACACAGTTTCTGTGCTGGGGTTAATGGCAGAGGAAGTTTGGAACTCTGCAGTTATTGAGTCAACAGAGTTTTGGCAAATTTTACATGCTATGCTCCTCAGCACTCAGCAACCCCGCTTTGTTACTTTACGTCAGGGATGGCCAATCTTATCCGCAAAGGGCTGGTGTGTATGCAGGTTTTCGGGGTAACCTTTTGGTCAGCTGTTCAAACCCAGGTGTGAGGACTCTTTAGCCAATGAGTCCTCAAATTAGTGACCTAATTAGGGAGTTGCAGCGAAAACTCGCATACACACCGGCCCTTTACGGATAAGATTGGCCACCCCTACTTTACGTGGTCTGCCACTTTGTGGCTGAGATTCTGCTGTTCCTAAATACTTCCAGTTTGCAATAATTCCACTTACTCTTAACTGTGGAATATCTATCATGGAACAAGTTTCACAAATTGACATTGCAAAGGTGGCATCCTAAGACCGTACCACATTTGAATTCACTGAGCTCTTCAGAAGAGCCCATTCTTTCACAAACGTTTGTAAACCTGAGTGCATGGCTAGGTGCTTGATTTTAAACACCTGTGACAATGGGTCTGAATGAAACACCTGAATTCAATGATTAAGAGGCATGTCCCATTACTTTTGTCCACATGGTGTATTTGTACATATTCACACATACAGCTCAACAGATGACCTAGGGAAGTTTCCTCCAGTTCTTTAAGAAAATCTTCATGAAAATCTGCTGTTCTACATAAAGTTAGAGAATAAGTAAGTAGTAATGGTTTATTTGTGATTATTAAAAGAATTGGCATTCAATACAGGATTTCACCTGATATTTTAAATGAAAATGGTTGTATAATGGTGGAAAAAAAATAAATGTAAAACAGACTATAGTAAAATCACATTGATCAGTACAGATAAACTAACCGGCTAGACGTTTCTATCCAGTTTCAAGCTTTTGCGACCGCGAGGACTCCTCCACAACCCAACCCTGCTTGTTTCTCAGAACAAACGTTGGCTGACTTGGAGGATCCTAGAGGACAACAGGAGAGGGATATGTGTCCACTTCCGGGTGGAGCCGCCGGCGTGGGTGGGGCACGTGGATGTGCGGCCGCGAACCGTGACCTCGCGAGTGTGTTTACTGGGGTGAGGTCGGGGCGCAGCTGACGCTTAGGCGTGCCGCGTGCCCCCACCCCCACTCCCACGCGCGCATGCAAGCAAGGTCTGCATGACACATGTTAAATGTCTCATCATACGACTTTATCTCTAAAAACAGTTCATGTTGAAAACGGTAACATTAATAAAGAAAACATTAATAACACACGCTACTAGTTTTAGTAGTGATATTTCAGTCATAACACAACGGCACATCTGATAATGTACATTGATTTAACGCTTTAATTTTCATATTTTTACTCAGTGTGGGAGATATTTAACAATATCCGCAACCCACCCACACACACGCATAAACAAAATGTATGGCAAATATACACATCAA